GTGAGCGGACAGGAAGAGGGCGACTGCAAGGTAATGGAAGATGGCGTGCGAAAACATGTCGAATTGCCGATAGATAATACCATATATCAATGCTCGGTAGCACCTATGAAGAAAAACCTGTATCTCGACCCGAGAGAGACGAACGTGATTGAATCACAATATTGCGATATGAATAAGGAGCAATTGAATTCCTAATGAATCTGACAGAGCCGGGTCAATTGAATCAAAACAAGAAAACGGCTCGTCCGGGTGCAAGTCCTGGCACACCATGAACACATAAACATCAGACAACCTAACATCGAAGGGCGGTTGCCAACGCCGTTACATATGTGAGGGGGTAAGCGGCATGATGCAATCCAAGAAAAGCATCATCATTTAAGCGACTGACAGCATGCGCCTTCCCCGCGAACTCGATGAGCCCCTGCAGTAGTCCCCCATATGCACGAACGGCACTGGTGACCACGGCAATAGGAGCAACAGGGGGGTGGCTCGTGGAAAAACTCAACCGAGGTCTGCCCAAAGAGGACCGACATGTACTGCCACCAATTAGACGGGAGCGCCACATGGCGATCGTGCCTGGGATGCGACGGGAGCAAACAGGAAGGACGAGGGGGGAAGTACGATCCAGGATCATGCAACCAGTATTTGCGCAGGAGCTTCTCATCTCACACAAACACTGTACCCGTCCCAACACCAGGAGTCCGCCAATTTCTCGGGAAGGAGAGAGGTTGTATAGGAGGAAGGAAGTGAGAGAATGAGGTTGTATGTGTCTGTTACTAAGACGAGATTACAAACTCGCGGGATTGGGCTGGTGAATAACCTGCTCAGACTGAAAAATCATCCCTCACCGATGAAAACACTGAAACGCATCAGCTCTACCAGACCCCGGATTCCATTCTTGACCATGTGTCTTTGTACCATGTTTGCGTGTCAAAAACACCAAGTTATAAGCAATGCCACTACTAAAAATATCCCTTGCAAAACGAAGATGAGTGTTTTGAGATTTTTTACAGGCGCACCACTAGCTGCCGTGATTGTTGTCGTGATCAATTGGCTCTCCGAGATCGAAGGCGAACCAATTGACGTTGGTGATGAGTCATGTTGGAATGACGACATTTCTGTTATCAGCGCAGTTACGGTAACTGACTTGGACGGTTCGGTATTCGAGGCCGACGTTGACGAGACTTGAGGAATAGTTCGCGTATCCTTGCTTATGTCTTCGCCTGTTGATGTTGTTGTTGCGCCCGCGAATCCCATAATCCGTGCATATTGCGAAGCCACCTCTTCTGGAAAGAGCTTTAGGTCACTCTTCTGCCATTGGACGGTTATCTGATCGTGCACAATCCAGAGCGGCTCCGAAGTGGGGGCTGCTGGGGGTGTGAGGGTCGTGTATATGTCGGTGGTAGAGATGTTGGGATCCAGCAGGAAAGTCATCGGGCTCGTAATATTCGAGGTGCACATATATTCGGGATCTATCGAGAGAGGAGCGAATCCGCTATTATCCATTGTGATGACGTTAGTCTCTCCCTGAAGCCAATTGGTCCTTCCCAGGGTCATGGCGTTCTCTGCACACCTCTGGCAACATGCAGCGATCCATGTAGTTTTGCCATGATGAACTCTCGACCTCGATCTGACTATTTCCATCTGATGCGGGCATACGCCGGGGCTAAAGGTCGGATAGGCCGTCGTGTATTGGGAGGGAATGCATCGAGTGAAAGACGGGTCGAACCAGCCGCTGCTGGGCGGGATAGTGCTGCTGTGGTGCGTATTTTTGTCGATGAAGACGGCATACCGATTGGAACACCACGGCGAAGGGGTGAAACGAGTACTGAGTGGCTGCATAGGTAGACAGAGATAGCTGCTAGACGCAATTATATATAGGTTGGGCGGAAGAATGTGTGCAATTGATGTCCAAAATCAAGGTTGACTGTGTAAAGTTGGAAAGCCAATGCTGTGCCAGAGCGACACCCAGTGCGACACGAAGCAATTGCCTGCCATAGTGTCCGATGGTTTCCAAAGGCAAGAAATCCGGGCTATGGCTGTCGTCGTCGTCGCAAATTCACATTGGTCCTCCCTTCTTATACGATCTTCGCTAGAAGGCGCGTCCAATTGGCAGGTGGTGTTGAAAGGGAGAGTAAAGAGAAACTAGGAGCAGAGAGATGGAGAAGCCTTGGATTAGGATGATTGCCTAAGATGGAGGGAAACTGCGACCAAGCTGAGGCAACCATGCCTGCCTATATAGTCTCAGCTTTGGCCCCCAACGTTAGTTCCTTGCCTCTTCTTGCTTCCTCGCGACATTCTTGTACCAGATAGGTATTCCGAGATAGGCACGGCCAGTCTCCCAATGCTACCATTTCCGTGGCGGTGTCCTATACGTAGAGAAAGTGAGAGACCGCTGCTTCTCTGATGCAATTGACATGGCTGCTACTCTCAACTAGGTGCGAGTGTTGAAGTCGTAAATGCGGCTTCGACAATTGAATTGAAGTGGAAAGAGGTCGTATCGTCGACGTTTGTAATTTGTAGGAGAGAACTTCTTCGTTATCCTCAAAGCGACAAGATGACTGAGGGCTGGTCAATTGAACATGTAATCAATCAATTGTACCGGTCGCATATTCTCACGAGAAAGAAGCATTGCAATACAAAATGGTAAAAGGGTGGGTAAATGAGTATGATTCAAATTGCGACAGCCCTGTCAATTATAATCCCAATGTCGGTTGCGGAAAGCCGACGAGGATGAGACAACTAACCGAAGGTAGCGGTCGCTAACAAGTACCTGAGGACAATGCGGGTAACTCGCTAATAAGGCTAGGGTCAGTCGGAGGCAAGGATGGTGATCATGGAAGCTAATTTAGATTCCCGGTCGACCCATCCATTGACCAGGCAGGCCACGCCGGCTTCGCGGGGTAGATGTGGAGGTGTCACCTTTCATGCATCGAATCTCACATACTCAAGACACTCACAGGTTACTGCAGCAGTACATGACCAGCGAATAGATCCGATTGGAAAAGCAATGGCGCCTGTTCACAAGGTAGCTCTGGTTCAGCTTCATCCCGAGGTAAGTTAGTCTGCAACCCGTACCCACCAGCCTCCATATATATGCACGTTGGTCTGCCAGTCGATCATCAATCGACACAGCACAGCCAGTTACTCAGCTCCAGCTCAACTCACACGTGGAGGCGAAATGACGCGCAGCCGTTGTCGCCGGTCAGGAACTTCGAGAAGGCGTCGGCCTTTATCAGAGAAGCAGCGTCGTCTGGCTGTCATCTGGCCGTACTCCCCGAATATCACCTGACGTCATGGGTTCCCGACGAGCCGGGCTTCAGGAAGAGCTGCGCAGAAGCGGAAGCATACCTGCAAAAGTATCAGGACCTGGCGAAAGAGTTAGGAATATGTATCGTGCCGGGGACTATCATCGAGTCTTCCCCGTCGGAGGGGGAGGCAGAGGGAGGAGAGTCGTCGACAACGTTACAGAATATAGCGTATTTCATCTCTTCGGATGGAAGCATCGCAGGTCGGTATCAGAAGAAGAACCTCTGGCATCCGGAACGTCGCCATCTGGTATCGTCGACGCACGAGCCCCACACGGCCTTCGACACACCCCTCGGTCGGGTCGGGCTGTTGATCTGCTGGGACATGGCCTTTCCCGAGGCGTTCCGAGAGCTTATCGCCGACGGGGCCCAGATCATCTGCGTGCCGACGTTCTGGAGCATGCGCGACGTATCCGACGAGGGGTATCGTCTGAATCCGGAGGGCGAGGCCCTGTTCCTCAACAGCACGGTTGTGAGCCGTGCGTTTGAAAATACCTGCGCCGTCGTGTTTGTCAATGCGGGAGGACCGCCAAGGAAGGGGGAGAATACTAGTTTTGCCGGCCTCAGCCAGGTAGGTCTGCCGCATCTGGGGTCTGTGGGCCGCATGGGCCGTGCCGAGGGCCTGTCAATCGTCAGTGTGGACATGGACGTCTTGCGGATTGCAGAGGAAAACTACAAAGTACGGGAAGACAGTAAGTGCTCATGGTGTCCATTACTCTCACTTCTTGAACAGGGGCCCTATCCTGCGGGTTCCCTTACAGGTCAAGTCCACCTTGCTTTTGTTTTGAACTAAGACTAACCGGGTCTGCCACAGTGAAAACTGAGGGATGGCACTACGCTTACACTAGGATCCGCGATGATAGCAAGCTTTAGTCTGTCCTCTCTACGTAACTATCTCTGTATTGGATCTAGGACTCTAGGACTTGCTTCGACTCCAAGGGCAACATGTAGCGTGCTGCGCAGCGTATACGGCCAGAGTGGCCCACTTCTCCGGACGAGGGTATGAGAAGAGATCGACCGGTCAGCCTTGTTTCCTGGTTTGTTTATTTTGTGGTTACACGACCCGGGGGTACAAATTCCGCTGGAGACATCGCAAGTGGTGTGTAGCACGGCGAAAAGAGTGAGGTCTCCCATGATACTGGCAACCTAGCGTGCTCGAGGATAACTGTGCATATGCTACACGTACGCTGCTCCTACGGCATGTCAGCTCAAGAAGGAGGTTGGGAGTAAGTAAGGCAACCCCTGTTCCTAAGTACATACAAGCCATATGTACAGCTGCTGTAATTTGACCTACAATATATGTACGTGTACTTTCTTACCGCTCGAGACTGAAATGGTACAACATACATACAGTCAATCCCGGCCAAACTACCTAACCAGGGTGTGTTGCCTGTCTCCATGTTGCATGCATGTGCCCACTTCTACCGGACACCCACTGGGGCTATCCCTATTCTTTGCAGCATTGTCTTACGGTGCCGCGTATTTAGGCATTGGAGAAAGTGTACTGCTGTAAAAAATAAACAAAACAAGTCAGATGACACCAAAGTCTAGGGGGGAAAGACAGGAAGATGAAGAGTTGCCTATCCTTTTTCTGGGGACCCAGGCCACCGTTCGCAAAACGTAACCAATGACAACCATCCACATCTTCCTCTTACTAAGAAGGGAATGAAGGGCAAAAAGATGAAATGCTGCCTCTCGATCGGGGAATCGAACCCCGGCCACCTGCGAGCTGCACAATGACAAGCAGGTATCCTTACCACTAGACCAATCGAGAATGAATGAAAGAAAGGACAGCAACGGGTCTGGCCGGGGATTGAACCCGGGACCTCTCGCAAATGTTGCTTGGGGTGTGTGCGGACATATACATTCCATTCGGATATAATGACCTGCCCTAAGCGAGAATCATACCACTAGACCACCAGACCGTTTTGAAGCGACCAGAGCTAACCTTAGAATCGTTCTGGGCTGCTTGTTGAAAATGCGTCCGGCAAGGTATGTAGAAGAGGGAAATTTTTAGCTGGAAGTTTTAAGAGAGAGTTAAGTTGCTCCACAGCCCCACAACGTGTAACCCAAGAATTTCTTGCTGCCGAATCTACAACGGTCTCCACCTCACTTGTACTTGTCAGCCAATTAAAGCTGTCGAGATCCGGACAGCAGTATACTTGTATTTAGTACATTTCTAGGTCAGCGAAGACGGCCTCTGCAACCTGTACGCGGTGCTGGCTACGAACCTATTCGCATCGATTGAGAAGAGTCTCATCTTTACCGAATAGAG